CTAGGCCGCCGCCCGCCTTCGCCGCCGCTGCCGCCGCGCAGCAGCCGGGATCAGCCAGCCCGCGCGCCCCGCAGGGGATAGCACTGCCGCCGCGACGCGACCGCAGCTGGCTCTACCCAGCTAAACTTAGGAGTTTTCGCCCCTCAGTCCAGGGGCAGCACCATGACACCACAGCAGCACCACAGTCATTTCCGCCGCCGCAGAGGAAAAAAAAAAAGGCAATCCCGTCGAAAAGGGGGGTGGAAGGGGCAAAAAGGGCTGGGGCTGACACCCCGAGGGAGCACTGGGAAGGGCCCTGGCAGGAGGGGCACTCCGCTCAGCCACCTTCCCTGGCTCACCTTCCGACGCCCCCGCCACTCCCAGCTCTCTCTAGGCGCGTTTACATGTTTTCTCCCCTGGCAGGAGTGACCGGAGAAACCTGAGCAAGCAAAGGCAGCCGGTGGGTGGGGTTCGGGTTACTACTGTACCTACCAGCTGATTCCAGCAGCCTTTTCTCCAGCGCCCTGTCATCTTGAAGGAAGACACACGGAGAGGGGCCCGAGCGGGTGTGTGTGTGTGCGTGCGTGTGTGTGTGTGTGTGTGTGTGTAAGACGGAGAGAACAGTATGTGTGTAAAATACAGAAGAAATATTATAGCCAAACTCTTCTCCCACCCGCCAACCCCCTGGCCCCACGAACCGCCAGATAAGAACAAGGAAAAGGCCACTGCAACCAGCAAAGAGAAGAGAGTGCCTGGGTCCACTGCATAGGTCCTCCCGATGAAGCTGCCTGCTCTACCAAAGTTAACTACAGAGTAAAACAAAAATAGTGGAGGAGACAGAAAAGGGCAGACAATTGAAGGAAACCCAACCCCTCTTTCTTTTTACAAAGGGAGAATGGCTGTGTTTTATTGGCCTTGGGCAGAAGTTATGCGGATGGATTAAAGCCATCAAATAACAATAATAATAAAAAGTAGGGTTTCTTTTGCACCTTTAAATCTTTGACCAGAAAACAAGAGGGTCATTACTAAGAGGACAATGGGGCAGATGCTAGCTATCCAGGTATTTAACGTCCCTAATAAGCTAATTGGTCCATTTGGAACCCAGGAGCTTCCCATTGGTCTGGACTCTGCCTGTCTGCTGATCTGTCATTGGCTCAGAGACCACCGCCCCACCGACAAGGTGGATGACCGAGAGAAGGAAGAGGAAATCCCAGAGGAGACTCTGTTTCTAACATGGGGCAAAAGGGGAGAATAAGAGGAATGGATAAAACAACAACAGAAAGGGAAGAACCACACACATACACATACAGCCCTCCCATTGCTCTGTATGAGAACCCAGAAAAATAAAGGTAGCTCTGGGTGTATCCTGTCAGGGAACCAATAGTAATCAGCCAACACCCCTGTTAAACAATGTGCTAGAGAGCACTGAAGTGGAAATGAAGGCTAAAATCACAACCAGGCTATCCTAATGAAAGTCTGGTCTTAAGAGAAGCAAAGTAAATGAGTCACACTAAAGGCACAGGCAACAAAAGGAAATAAACAAACGAGACAACACAAAACTATCCAGAATAGATAAATAACTCTTGCAACTCAACAACAAACCCTATTAAAAACTGGGCAAAAGTCCTGAATAAAGATTTCTCCAAAAAACACATACAAATGACCTATAAGCATATAAAAAGATGTTGGGGCCAGCAGTGAGCGTAATGGCTAAGTCACTGAACTCCCATGTAGTCTACCGTGGTTCAAGTCCCAGACCCGGTGGCTTAAACTCATGCAGGGCGCATGTGCGTGCGTGCCCAAGAAACCCAGATGAGAATAGAGGAGAAGGGATTGCGGCATGGCCATCCCCCCTGGGAGATGATTTATCACTTTCTGTCTCTCTGTCTCTCTCTGTCTTTAGGGCAATCACACACGCCCTATAGCAAAAATCTCTCAAAAAAAAAAAAAAAAAAAAAAAAAAGGATGGGGAGGGACCAGGAGGTGGCTCAGTAGTTGAGACACTGAATTCCCACATGATGGACCATGGGTCGAGTCCCAGACCGGCAGCTTAAAATTCATGTTGGGCAGACCAGCAGTTGGCATAATGGCTATGTCACTGGACTCACATATAGTCGACTGTGGTTCAAGTCCCAGACCCGGTGGCTTAAACTCATGCTGGGCACATGTCCAAGATCTCGAGGACAAGGGATTGTGGCGTGGCCATCCTCCCAGAGGGTGATTTCTTGCTTTCTGTCTCTCTGTCTCTCTCTGTCATTCTGGCAAGCACATAGCAAAAAAAAAAAAAAAAAACACGTCATGTTGGGCATATGTGCATGTGTGCCCAAAATCACAAGAAGAGAATGGAGGAGAAGGAGAAGGGCTTGTGGTGTGACCATTCCTGGGGGGGAGGGGTGATTTCTCACTTTCCCTCTATCTCTTTCTGTGAGTGCACATGCACTATGGAAAAAACCTAAAAAAAATAAAAATTTAAAAAAAAAGGAAGGAGGCTCAGCTGGTAGTGTGGAGGTTAGGGTGACTGAATCTCACATGGTCAACTATGGTCAACTTCGCTCCCAGTAGTTTGAGAAATATTGTGGGTTCATGCACGTGATGTGCCCAAAATCCCAAGAGGAGAATGGAGAAGAAAGGATATGGGTATGTCCATTACCCTGGAGGGTGCTTTTCTTCTCTCTTTTTCTTTCTTTCTTTCTTTCTCTGACAAGTGCACACACATTATAGCAATTTTTTTTAAAGAGAGATTTTTGCTATAGGGTGCATGCACACGCCAGAGAGACAGAAAGCAAGAAATCACTCCCTGGGGTGATGGCCATGCTTCAATCCCTTCTCCATTCTCCTCTCGGGATTTTGGGAACACATACCCATGTGCCTGGTATAAGTTTTAAGCTGCTGTGTCCAGGACTCGAATGGCCATCGACTGAAGTGGGAGTCCAGTGACGTAGCCATTATGCCATCTGGTGGTCCCATAGCAAAAACATTTTTTTAAAAAGGAAATTCTGTCATATGTTACAACCTTTATGAAACTTGACAACATTATGCTAAGTGAAATAAGACAGTCACAATGACAATACCACATGCTTCTACTTGTATGAGGTATCCAAAATAGTCAAACTCATAGAAACAGAAGTAGAATGGTAGTTGTCAGGGGTTGGGGAGAAAGGAGGTGGGGAGTTGTTATTGGGTAGGAGTAGAGTTTGCAAACTGTTGGAAAGTTGAATTTTATGTCATGTTAGGTTTACCACTCAGCATCATACAGGATGGAAAATGAAATTAAAATATGAGTTTACTTGAGTGCAAAAAATTCTTGAAATTCATGCACTTTTTTCCGCAATACACATTTCCACAAACTTTTTGAAGTTCCCGCATGTATGTGTGTGTGTGTGTGTGTGTGTGTGTGTGTGTTTTGTGTGTTTGTATCTCACATATTGATTTTTTTTTAGAATTTTGCCATAAGATACATGCACAGGAGAGACAGAGACAGTGAAAGGGAAAGTGAGAAATCACTCCACAGGAGTTGGTGGCGTACTGGGGTGGGGGGGGGGAATGGCCACTCTATAATCCCTTCTCCATTCTCCTCCTGAGGTTTGGGGCTTGCACGCACACATGCCCAGCATGATTTTTAAACCACCCAGTCCAGGACTGGAACGATGGTCACCCCTGTGTAAATCCAGTACCTTAACCTCTACGCCACCTGCTGGATCCCTTAGATTATTGTTAAATGAAACAAAGGGCAGAACTATGTATGGCTTACTACTACTTGTGTAAAAGAGGGGAGGAAGTATATGTCCATGTTTATGTCTATGTACATAGACTCTTCTGCTCCTATCTAAAGGTACCTCAGAAACTGATGACACTGGTTGCCTGGGGTCAAGCATAGAAGGGAGAAGAATTTACCATTTTAAATGCTCTTTTGCATTGTTTCAATTTTTTATAATGTTCGTGTATTACTTTCACAAAAACAATTTTTAAAAAAGCAAGGAACATAGAGACAAAGTGGAATAGAGATTACCTGAAGGCTGATGGAAGGGGAAATGCAGTGTTATTGTTTAGAGCATACAAAGTTTCTATTTAGCATGACCAAAAGATTCTGGAAATGGTATATTACACAGCATCGCAAATATAGTTATTGCCACTGAATTGTACACTCAAAAGTGGTAAAATATGATACATTTTAGGTTATGCATATTTTACCACAACAAAACAAATCAAAAAATAAAAAGGAGGAGATGTACAGAACAAGTACAGATTATTCTCTTTGTGTAAAAATATAAATACATGTATATACTGGTAAATGCATAAGAAAACCCTGGGAGTCCACTAAACAGTGTGGGCCTGGAAGTGAGTGGGAGTTTCAGGAAATCTTTGGATTTTGATTCTGTAAGAGGGTCTTCCAAAAGTTCATGGAAAGTGCAAATGATTTTAAAAAGTTGCTCATGGATTTCAACAGTTTTTGCACCTTTAATCCTATTTTCCCCTGAACTTTTTGAAGGGCTTATGTGTATTTTAAAATCCAATATTCTTAGGACCAGCAGATGGCATAATGGCATAACTGTGTAGACGATCATGGTTCAAATCCTGGACCCAGTGGCTCAGAACTCACTCCAGGCATGTGTGCATGCATGTCCCAAGTCCTGAAATGAAAATGGAGGTGAAGTGATTGAGGTGTGGCCATCCTCTCAGGGACTGATTTCTCGCTTTCTGTCTCTGTCTCTCTCCATCTCTCCAGCAAGTGCACATGCTCTATAGTAAAAATCTTTCTTAAAAATTAATATTCTATAATGAACATTTCATATAATAATATTATATAATGAAAAATTTTTTCTGTAGTTTTAAAAATCTTCTAAGGCACAGTTCATGGAAAATGCACATTATTTGAAAACTATACATGGATTTCAAAATTTTTTGACACCAAAATAAATCTGTATATTAACTATTTTATTCAACAATCTTTTTGAAGTCCCTTTGTGTTTCAAAGAACAGTTTTATTTCAAGGTTAAGTCAGAAGTCAATTGATCACTGAGAATACTTCGGTCTCACTTGATATGATCCCCACAGAGGGACAGAGAATTTCATAAAATGTAAAGAAATGACATACCCTAACAAAACTAGTGAGCTCCTGGCAGAACTGATAGTAAAAGAGATTTATTGATTTATTTTCTTTATTATTATTATTATTCATACATTCAATTGCTATACATTATTTAGATTGTAAAGAGACTTTACCAAGCATGACGTATGCCTCACTACAGTCCAGTTGAGAATACTATACACATCCTCATCAGCAGATAATAAACCATGTCTGTGTCCCACAAATGTCTTACCTCTCTATTGCTATAGAGCACATGCATTTGCCAGGGAGAGAGAGAGAGACAGAGGGAAAATAGAAAGTATTCCCCAGGAAGGATAACCATGCTGCAGTCCGTTGTCTTCCATTCTCCTCTGGGGATTTTGGGCATGCAAGCACACATCTGGCATGTTTCTGAAGCCACCAGGTTCAGGACTCAAATTACAGTTTGGCTATGTGGGATCCAGCCACCTTTACCACTATTCTACCTGACCCAAGATTTGCTTTCTCTTAAGTTTATTTCTGTAAATGAGAGAGATAATACTCCCACCAGGGTCTTGACACTGTAATGTATCCCTAGCCTCAGCCAGCCCTGGATCATGGGGACGTGTGTTCCGACGTACTCAGGGAGATCTCTGAATGCAAACCTGGAACCTTCCCATATGGATTGACCTCGCAGTGTTGTGTTTTAACCACTATGACACAATCT